TAGCATTTAAAAGAGCAACTCTTAAGTCTGTGATTTATTACCTTTATTAGTTTGGTGCAGCATGAAAACTAAAGAAGAAACAAGGTTGTGAGATGAGAACATGGTAATAACATGATGTGAGAACACGCCTCTTGGCCTGTTGGGTACAAATAATAACTCTGAGTGTGTTTGTGCAGTGAACTGAGCTGAAGGTCTGGGAAAAGGATGACTTATCTAATAATTAGCTTCGAAAACGCATTAAAGGGACAGTTTATCTTTGTTTCAACATTTCAGAGGAGAACAGCGCTGAATATATTTGTCGTCGTTCCTCAAAGGTGTTGTGTGTCTTTGTCTGCATGCAGTGAATAGCTCGTGACTGCGCGTGTGTCCTCCTTGTTGTGATGCGAGGTGTGCCAGTGTTTCATCTGATTTGCTGACAGCCTCCTTGGGCGACGTGCCTGTGAAAATATTAAAGGATCAACGCTTCTGCTCAGTGATTATCTCCGTGATCCCTCGCTCTTTACTCGCCTCTGCGACCAGCACACACAAAAAGAAAATCTGCTACGTGGACATTTCTCCCGCTGCTTCTTCTTTTCTTTGCTCGTGTTCACCGCGCGCGGTTTTCTGCTGATGATGCTTGTTTTACGTTTCCGATTCTTTTGTTTTCTTTCTTTCTTTTTTTTCAAAATCATGAAGTTGCACAGCTTTACATCTTATTCATTATCCATGTGTATACTTTTGAACCTCACAGATGGGATCCTAGTACAGGGAACACTTGCTGAATTAAATATGTAAATATGTAAACGGGTAGACAAACGGGCAGTTTGTTGTGTAACTTAAACTGTTATTGAGGCAGTTTTTGTATCAGCTGAATCTGGGTTCAGTACAGGTCAGGTCAGTCACCTCAAGGTGCTTTATATTGTAAGGTAAATACCCTGTATTATTCTAAAGAAGCACACAGTGTATAAATTATGTAATTCTGTATGTAAAACTGTATTTTCATAAGTTTTCCGACTCATAAAGACCTCCCTCATGGCTGTTCATGCTACACTAAAGTAAATAAAAAACAAGTGAACAATTAAATTACACAAAGTTCCTGTTTTTCACTAACTACAATAGAAATGTGGGATTCATATTAACATATTCCACTAATAAACAAAGATTTTCAGTTTTAGAACGGGACAGGAGAGTCTGCACAACGAGCTGACGGCATGTTTTCTGTCTTTTTGTACATTTCTTACAATTGAGTCATGCTGACAGATGTACAGATTTACTACAGAAGTATTTTTTTTAATTTTGACATTAAATGTGTAATTTAACTTCTATACATTGACATAAAGGGCAGTTCCACTGGTTTGGCGCTCTTAAGGTCAAAGTGACATCCCTGCTCTTGGTGGTACTTGGAAGGAAAAGCAGCCTTTTTAACAGGCTGGTTGGGTATTGAGGGCAATGAGAAAAGAAAGGCTGATTTTAGTGAATTTAAAAATATGGTGGTACTTGGTGCCAGGTGAGCACCATCAACCATCTCTGACGAATGCTTCCAGGGCACCTTATTTAGACTTTAAGGCAGTTCTGGAAGTAAGAGGTCTGACCTACAAGCAAAATGTACCAAAAAAAGGGTCTTAATTATTAAATTAATTTAAGCTGTAGATACGGTATAGTTTATAAAGTCAAGCTAGAATGAGCTGTAATCTGCAAAGGGTCACACAAGTTTGAAAAACTTGTGAATCTTAGAATATTCATGCTCTGATCACCTTAATTCACTTTCAGGGGGAAACGGCTCGGCTGTTTCTTATTTCACGACGAGCAGCAGATGTGAAATAACTTCATGCCTATTCAAAGATAAGGAGTAAAAGATGATTACAAAATATTTCACGTTAGAGATGCATATTGGTGTGTGTCAGTGCCACTGGCGGATGATGGTGATTATGATAATGATGTAACTTCCTGTCTACTAAAGGAAATAGTCTGGTTCTGGGTCTAGTCACTCTGAGTCAGATTTGCTTTCACCCTGAGGGGGTGCCCGAGGATGAACACAAGCCTGACCCAGTATAGATGTCGTGTGTGTACGTGTGTGTGTGTACGTGTGTACATGCGTGTTCCTTCAGGCCCTTAGGTTTTCTTAGATGAAAGCTTGTGTTGGATATCAGACCACTAAACGCCTTTGCCAGTGGATGAAACACAACGCGACTTCTTCTGGTTTGTCCATCAAAGGAGCACATTCACACTGTTTTCTTGGAGATGCATCTGGGTTTCAAATCAGCTTGGTGGAAAACTGCATGACCTCATCAAGGTTAGGCTTCAAATAGAGAAATGTCAATGTGGAAGCATAATTAGGTTATAAACGAGAGATGATTTCTCAAAATGCATTCAATCTTTTTCATCTAAATTGTTTATTTTTTTCCACTGAACTAAATGATCTTGTACAGACTTTCTGCATACAGATGCTTACCTGACAGTTATTTACAAGCTTTTTTCTTTTCTTTTTTTAAATTAAGCCTAGTCTCATAGCATAAACTAAAATATTTTAGGAGACCTTGTATGTTTTAAGGAATCCCTTGCAGGGACTTATCACCCTGGAAAGCAAGAAAAAAAACAAACATAAAAATTCAGATGATTCACGTGTCTTTTAAGAAACCATTTTATTGCACCAGCCTGAGACCTTTTATATTTCCAACCAAGAACCATTTTCCCTTTTCTTGTGTTGTGTTTACAGGTAGGAATACAACCGAAAGGAGCTTTTTATTTAAGCTTGTTTTTTGTACCTCTCCATACCGATGCTAGGTGTATTCAACCTTGGAGAAATCCAATAGTTGCTTTCTAATTAGTGTCAGGTCCTCAGCTGAGATGTCATCCAAGGAACTCCTCCCAAGAACAAAGAAAGAAACAAAAGCAGAACCTTTGACTTTAGCTTATGCTTCTTATAGCTTACCTTTACTGACACATTTTTCTCAATAAGCTGGTTACTCATTGGCATGTAAATGATTACTGATTAGCTGTTCACATCTGTCCTCAGAACCAGCTAATCTTGCAGGACCAAGGACAGCAGTCACATCAATCAGCAATCATATAAACATGAAGAACTTTCTAAATAATGCATCTATCATAGTTTAAAAAGCTCCAATGGTTTACATGCTAATACAATTAAAATGAGGGCATTTGTTTCATTGCCAGGGCAGCATGTTGGTTAGCACTGTTGCCTTGCAGCAGGAAGGTCTTGAGTTCAATTCCACCATCAGGCCGGGGTCTTTCTGTGTGGAATTCGCATGTTCTCCCCGTGTTTGTGTGGGTTCTCTCCGGGTACTCTGGCTTCATCCCACAATCCAAAGACATGCAGTTAGTGGGGATAGGTTAATTGGAAACTTTAAATTGCCCATAGGTGCACGGCACACTGGCAACCTGTCAAGGGTCTCTCTCACGCTAAGACAGCTGTGATAGGCTCCAGTCCCCCCACCCTGTGACTCTGAAAAGAAAAGCAGAAGAGAGGGGATAGATTATTTTATTTCCTGCCCACTTATGGAAGCCAATAATTCACACTTTTCTGGTTCAACACAACCACCCATGATCCATCCATGCACAAAATTACTGTAAGGAAATTATTTATCCCGTTTTGTGCAGAATCCTCCTTCACTACCTTTGTGAAAAAATAGAACACAATGAATGCTAAAAATGCTCTTTTGGCTGACTGGTTAACAAGCAGATGATTGCTGTTGTTTTCACACGGCATCCTTATAAAATGACACGTGGCCAAATTGTGTGTGTCTTAGAATGTATTAGACTATGTTTGACCTTTACCCTCTCCTTTTCTCCTTTTCTTTTCTCTTTCAGAACCTGGCGTCAGCAGGAACCTCCAGTTCCTTCAGAGCCCGACCCGAGTAACAGCTCTGCTGGGATCAGATGCGGTGCTTGAGTGTTCAGCCTCTGGTTACCCGACTCCGAGCATCCAGTGGAGGACAGGAGAGGAACTGATTCAGAGCTGGTCTGTCTGCTTTACTGTGTTAATCCATGTTTAAACCACCAACAGCACACATCTGATTTTACCCACACTGATCCCAGTATGGCCCAGTGATTGCTATGCCTTGGTGGTAAATGTTTGAATGATTATGCGTATTCATAGCATTATATTTTTACATTCCTTTGCAGAAAAGAGTTATTACAACATATTAGCGATTCACTAATACACTGAATTACCTTTTTTTAGTATGACCAATAGACAGCTGTAGTAAAACTAAAGTTTTGGACTCTTTATGTAAAAATAAATAACCTGAAACAACCTTTTGTAAACAACCTTTGGTGCAGTCTTCACTGACCCTACTTGCCCAACTTGGCTCCTAGAAATTTCACCAAATAAATTGGAAGAGATAACAGTAAGAACAAGATTTAGAATAAGACTTAATAAGAAGTTTTTATTTATATTCATATTCCATAATTCTTCTTTAACACTGTTTGTCCCCTCTCATTTTCACCCACTCTTTGGCTCATCTCTGTGTGTGTAGTCAGTCCTTGTCTCAGTTTTTGTTTACCTTTGGTCTGTGTCTAGTTTGTAGTGGCATGCCTAGCTCTTACTCAGCACAATTATAGGAACCCATATGAGCAAGCACTTTGGTGACAATGGGGAGGAAAAGCTTTTAAAAGGAAGAAACCTCCAGAATAACCACACTCAGGCCATCTACCACGACTGGTTTGGGTGGGGGGAGGAAGACAGGACCAAGACATGCTTTGGAAGTGAGCCAGAGATTAATGATGACTAATCATTAAATGCAGAGTGGTGTATAGACAATAGAATAGGCTTTTATTGACATTGTACAACAAAAATTTGGGTGTTCCACACAAACGGTGCAGGAATAAATATAAATATTAGGACAGCAAGAATAAATAACAGACAAGGAGAGTACATACAAGCAAGTGGAATATATACAAAACAGGAAGAAGGCACATAAAATGTAAAAGGCACATTAGAGGACATGTCGCAAAGTGCTTGAAAGTAGTGCAAAGGGTTTGGTCTGAGTAGAGTCTGTGTGCGAGTGGTCTGAATGATGAGGGTTGCTCAGACCATGGCTCATGGCTTGGTGGGGTTTGTTTGTTTGCTGTCCTGGCCAAGAGGATGAAGCTGTTTGTGAGTCTGATCGTGTAGGACCTGGTCCAGAGGGCATTGGGTCATTCAGGTGGGGGGTGTGTGCAATTGGTCGCCTGTGATGGTCTTGATTTTTCTGAGACAGGAGGATCTGACAACGGCATCCAGGGATGGCAGTCAATGATTTTTTTGGCAGTATTAATTACCCTCTGAACAGCCTTCCTTTAGCGTACCTGCGTACCAAACACCCAGGCAGTAGGAGAGCTTACTGTCCACTGAGGAGAGGTAGAATTTCTGGAGCAGCTTGCCATGCATTCATGTGTGGCTGGCAGTTTGCAGATGGAGATGGAAACTGAACTCGAACAGCTTATATTGCTGGAGCTTCAGAAAACCAAAATGCACAATCACAGAAACTGCAGACTAACACAGACATGAGGCGAAACAAAAGTGGAACAGAGGAACAATGAGGACGTAAATACGGATGAGAGGATAGGAAACGGGTGGAGACACAGCTGCAACAAATCCAACTAATGAAAGAGGGGAAGCAAAACTGAACAAACACACATGGGATGAGGAACTGTCAAAATAAAACAGGAAGTGACGTGCACACTGAGACAGACATGAGCTCTACATTAGGACAGCGAATAATCAGACATGGAAGCACATGACAGACAGAAGAGACAAAACACAGACTGGACACGAAAAAGGGAACAGGCATGAAAGCAAGCAATAACCAAAAGCTAAAACTCAGAGGCTCTTAAAAACTGAACATAACCATCTCTTTATTCCAGAGGATAAGAAAAGTCCAAACATACTCAAAAACCATGACACAGCTTCTCGGGCAGGTTAGGTACTGCTGGGCCTTCTTTATTAGGGTGATGATGTTGTGGCTCCAGGTGAGGTGTATGGAGAACATATAGTGAATGAAAAAGGTGAGTGAAGATGCCCCCAGTAGTTTAGAGCTATTACCGCATAACTAAGGGAGGATTCAGAGTCACCTGGGTCATATAGCCCTAACAATATGCTTTATCAAAAAGGAAAGTTTTAAGCCTTATCTTAAAAGTAGAGATGGTGACTTTTCCCCAAATCCAAACAGGAAGCTTGTTTCACAGAAGAGAAACATGAAAGTTAAAGGATCTGCCTCCCATAGTATTTTTAAATACTATAGGAACCACAAACAAGCCCAGTCTGTTGGGGTTTTATAGGTAGTATGAAATCTTAAAGATAGGATGGAGCCTGATTATTTAAGAACTTGGATGTGATGAAAAGGATATAAAAGATTTATATCTTAGTTTTGTAATGTTTGGTTATCATCATTTGTGGTCCCCATCATGTTTCTCTTTCTCGCTGTCTCTGTGGTTGTCTGGTCCTGTTAGTTTTATCAGGTGACTCTTGTGTCCTCTCTCAGTCATGTCTCTGTGTTTGTGCTTTTGCTACATAGAGTTTGCATGTTTTGAGTCTGGGTCTCTGTCTATAAGCTTATGTTCCCTGTCTAATTTTGTCTCATGTCCCATGTGTATTTTGTTTTGCTGTTTGTAGATTCTGTTCACCTGTGTTCTCCAGGTGTTTCCAATCTGTTCTTACCTCATGTTTGTATTTAAGTCTTCCATCTTCTTTTGTTCATAGTCATGTTGTTGTCATACTTCTCCTTGCGTGTGATCTGTATTATCAGTATTGGAAACTAGTAAGTTTTTGATTTGTGTCAGAGTTTTGGTAATTTTGTATCTCCCTCCTTAAAATCCAGCAATAAAACTGTTTTATGTTCAGTCCTGTGTTCTGCAATTGGGTCCACAGTTTGCCAGCCACACACTGACTCATGGCAGAAAGTGTGTGGCCAGTCTTCTCTGACCTCCAACCTTAACAAATCATTTTTAAAAAATTGTTACTCAATATGTATTTTTGCTTTTATGGACCATTATCTGTAAACTGTAGAGATGGTTGTGTTGGAAAATCCCAGTAGATTATTGGTTTTTGAAATATTCAGACCAGGCTGTCTGGCATAATGAACCATGCCAAGTTCAAAGTCACTTAAATCCCCTTCCTTCCCATTTCCAATGCTCTGTTTGTACTTTATCACATTGTCTTGACCATGTCTGCATGCCTAAATGCACTGAGCTGCAGCAATGGGTCAGATAGTTGCGTAGATCAGTTGAATGGGCAACAAGTATATATAGAAATAACTTATTATTAAGGTAACAAAGCTAGGCTGATCGTTCCTCTATGCAAGTAACAAAGAAGCAATAATGAAATGCAAAAACTCTTTCCTCCCTTTTAGGAACAAGAAGTACTCTCTACTGGCGGGCAGCAACTTGATCATCAGAAGCGTCACTGACGACGACTCTGGCAGTTACAGCTGTACAGCCTCCAACAAGAACCACAACATCACTGCATACGCTGAGCTCAGTGTACTAGGTGAGGAAATAGAATTATTATATGACCCTTTCCCACCAGGCGCATGACAGTACTTACTTGGTCAAGTATCAACTTACGTCCTAACTTGGATAGAAAAACAAGAACACACAAAGGTTTCTGTGTAAAATTAAAGAGCAAAACTGTGTCACTTACCAATGCTCCTTAGGTAAAAAAGGAAAAAAAAATAACAAGAGTTGTTCCACCTCTGTGGAAATTAAAAAAATAAAAATGAATAAGCAAACAGAATAGGGCGAAAACAGTTGGCATTGCTACATTGACAGATAACCTCCAGAATCAAATGCAGTGTTGTTGTTTTTCTGAGCTGACTGTTTGCTTCAGGAGGTTTTCATAAATAAAATATATTTGTATTTATTGTCTTACTGCTCCTCAGCAGCTCGTACATTCAAACTGAAGGTGCTCAAGGATTCTGTTGATTGTTTGGTTTGAAGCAATTATTTTCAAAATTTCTTTTTTCCTGAAATCTTATTCATTTCATATCAGTGCTAGCAGTTTTTCCTGTGAAGCGATTGTGTAGAGGTAATTATGAACATCCTGTAACTCAGCAGCTGTGGCAAACTGTTCCCCCCAAAGTTTACAGACAAAATCTTTAAAAGGCTAAATGATAAACTAATATTGGTAAATATTGGTAAATATGAAAATCACCATTTGAATGTCTAGAGACTTCTGTAGTTTTTATTTTATTTATTTTTAAATTCATCGTGTATTCAGATATCCCCTGAAAAAGTTCAGGTTCAACAAGATTAAATTAGTTGTAAAAACAGATGAAACTGAGAATATGTAACAGAAGAGTTCTGAATAATGACTCTTCACTGACAGAGAAATAGCTGACCTAACTACCGGTATGCTAGAAAAGCTTTCTGGTGAAATATACAGATAAAACACTTTCTGTGTGGAGAGTAAGCAGCATTTAGCAGAAAAAGCTGTTTAATAATGTTCTTATGTGATGATGTACAAATTAGCCACGTACTTTTATTGGTTAACTACGCGGAGCTGTAAATGTCATGTTAAAAGCATACAAGTCTGCTGATAGCTACAATGTGCACAGGTCATTCAGTTAATTTTTAATCCATGATCTAACTGAGGAATCACACCTGTGGTAAAAATTGGTTTCCCCTCATTATAAATAGCAATCCCCACTAACAAAACAAAAGAAAAACTATAGACTGTGGAAAGAAGAATTGAGGTATCCACTCTGAAGTGTGGATTTTGAGAATTACACCTCTGCTAAATATTTAAATAAAAGGTCTTTCAGTTGCCAGAATCACTCCTAATGTTATAATCAAGGCTCCAGACCATCTGTTTCAGGAGAGAAGCTGGTTCTTTAGGGCTGGTAGTGTCAATTTGAAACCAAGCAGAAACCTTCCTGTATTCCAGATCAGAAAACAAACTTCTAGAAGTCTAAAACAAAATGTTCTCATCATTAATTGTGCCCTGATTTGTGTGTAATTCTGTCACAAAACCAGAAACTAATTGTTTGTGTTAAGGTCTTAGGATCACAAAACTATTTCCCAAGATAAAACTTTTATATAATTTGGGATAAATAATGTTCTAAATTGTTATTTTCCTCTAATTACAGTAAAATGTCTTTGTAGCATCTTTCAAAACTTTGTTGTTTGCTTCACAGATGTAGGCTTACCCTAAAATTATACAGATATATTCACATCAAGCTTTGCGAAAGCTAAACTTCCCCCAGGCTTCGTACAAGACTGAAAGCAATCTATATTTGTAGTTGAATCCCATCAGGCTGCTGCTGTGCTTTAAAGTCAGCACAATCTGTAGGGAAGTTTATCGTGCATGAAGTCTCTCAGCATCACCTCAGGAACAGCGCTGGACTGCAGGGTGAAATTTGTCCTGCGGTGACCAGAGCCAGAATTAGGTCAGTGGTCAAATGACGCCCACTGGGCTGAAAATACTTTTTTCCCCACATAAACACACATTCAAAAAAAAAAAAAAAAAGCTGTCAGTGCCAGTAACAGTGAACTCATTTGTGTCACGAGCAGTTAAACATGACTGTTACAGCAATTTGTTTTTGCACCACTCGTGTTCGTGAGGAGTCAGCGAGAAGTCAGTGCCTCAGGCAGAGGAAGTGTTCGGGGGGATTTGCATGTGCGGCTTATTTAAATTAGCTTTCAGTCCTGTTTTAAAGTGCTCACCTGGACCAAGGTAAGGGAACTCAGAGCTATTTTTCCAATAGACTACTATACAATGAGCAATTCTTTGCAACCAGAGAAGTCGCCCCCTGCTGGTCAAGAATGCAGGTTTAAGGCCCATTTATATTGTCTTCACTTTTCAGACGTAACAGCTACATCAGTCTTTTCTGCTTTCTGTAGTTTGAGGAAAGGATAAATGTGAAATATTCTTTAAGTGGATTCAAGTTGCAGAAACTTTATCCCAGATGACCGTATATTCTTTTTGCACAACTTAATTGGCATTCTCATTTAGTTAAATGGCAGGGCTTTGTTTTTACAGAACTAAAGTTAGGAAGTGACAGACAGAAAAGTTTTCTTGCCACATGAAGACGTTAGGTCTTCTTCAGACTAGCTGATGAACAGGTGTTTCTTTTAATGCTGTCAGTACCACAAGATTTTTCCGTACAATTAGAATCCGTGATAGCACCTCTAATGAAACACAAGCTAGTCTTATTTTTCTACAGCAGAGAAAGCTGAAATCAAACAGAAGCAGCTGTTGTTTGTTGGACTCAGGAGAAAATCTGCAAATTAACCTTCGGGTATTTTCAGTCTCCTTCCAGCTGGGCCTCTCTGCTCGTCTCTGTCCTTTCATGTCTTTGTCTCGGTGTCCCCTCTGAGTCTTTCTCTGTGCTCGCACCACATTCATATTCTGTTTACACTCCACTCTCAACGGCCACCGCCGGCAAACATCACATGATGTTTACAATAAACAGGAGAAGAGTCTGCGTCTTCAGTGTGTCACGCCTCAAATCTGATCATAAAGTGCCATGTTCTGACATGTAAACACGAGTCGTACATTTCCAAAGTGTGTATTTGTTCCTGAAATGTACCGTAACACACAATGGGCCCAGAGACTGTGTTGGTTTGTGTTGACAGAGAATTTCAGGAGGAGCCTTCATATGTAAAGGAGAGAACCTTTTTAAAAAAAGCTCTTGAATCTTTGTTTTCTTCTGCTTATGCAGCTCAGAGTTACAGAGAAATGGGTGAAAAAAAGTGTCCACATGTGTCTTTCCTCTTATAGATTTGAAATAGCAATAAGCTGGATGAGCTGGCAGTGAACGGAAGGCTCTGCTCTTTTATTCTCTAATAGCTAATGTGCAGTCACTAATGTATATTGATCCACTATTCCTGAAAACAAACATTTTTTTTACATAAATCTCTAAAGGCAAAGGTTAAAAAGGGATAATTTGGGGTTGAGAAGAGACGTCCCCTGATTCCCCAAAAAGAGAAGCATTTAACAAACAATAATTGCTCAAAAATAAAAGGCTTAAAGCGCACTGTTCTGCTCATTTCAGCTCCAGCTTTATTTTATTTTTGGATTTTACTAGAACAGCTGTGTATAATGCAGTTTAAAATAATGCTTATTTGTCTTTTAGTTCTATTTAATTCGATTAAATTGAATTCTATTTATATAGCACGAAATCACAGTTGCCTCAAATTGGTGTATAATTTAAAAGAAAGAAACCCCCAGCAATCAGCCAACTATCTGTGAGCAAGCACATTGTGACAGTAGGAAAGAAAACCTTTTAACAGGAACACACAGGCTCAGGGAGCGGCAGCTATCTGCCACAACTGGATGAGGATGATGGGAGTTGGACAAAAAATCATGTTCTGAACTGTTTTAGCCCCCCCACCAAGTTTTTTTTTTTCCTCAGCAATTGCCACACAACACACAAGTGTAAAGCAAGTGGGTGGGGCAACTCATGGATGTAAGGCCAAGATAAGTGTATACGCAATAACCTCTGCTATACAGAGCCAGGAATATAGAAAACTGGGAAGCTGGGCATTGAAAGCTTGTACTTGTACATACACTAACATTTTAACATGTTTTATATTGCAACAGTAAAATAATTAAAAACATATTAGACTCCCTTTAAGTCACAATAGTGGCTGCCGTCTGCCCGTCCTTTACCATGGAGTCCTTTGTACAGCTACGGTACTTTCTTGAAAATTTATTTAACTGCACTCTAATCCCTGTGCAATTAAATGTCTGAGTGGGCTAGGGTTGAATGAAAGAAAATGTTCAGCTAAGGCCGCCAGATGAAGAAATCCAATTCAGACAGATTTGAAATCAAAAGCAAACTTTAATCAAAGTTACTTGCATGCACACCAGAAAATAGCTGGATAATCAGCAATAAATCCAACATAAGATGATGAAACAGAAGAACAGCAACTTAAAACAAAAAAAGGGATACATGGAAACACTGTAAATGAGGTGATAACTCAAGTAGGTGAATAACAAAGGATAAATGCTAAAAGAAAAAACATGACATGAACTGTACCAGAGCCTGCAGGAGGTGGGTGGGATTGATGGGGGGCATATAAAGCCCCCCACATGACTGTCACACTAGAGACATTTCATCTACACCTCTGTCACTTGTTAAGCTCAGACAATAAAGAAAAATACTTTTTTTAACCCCGTAGGCACTCAGATGTGCTTTTGAATTTTCTACCTGGAAAATAATAAAATAAATGAATATAAATCAGTCGGTAACGGCTCCACACCTGTAAGGCCAAACAGCCTGGGGCTCTGTGAATAAGCATCACTTGGGGAGTTTTGAAATAGAATTAAAATCCTTGTCCCCATCATAATGTCAGTGAGCAGAAGCCCCATTGCAGTAACTCAATTAATGATGATGTTAGCACAATGATGGAGCCTACGGCTATTATTACAAAGAACAATTATAAACAGACACATAAAAAATACTGAAAGTCAAAGCAACCATTTTAATAACTTTAAATGAGAACTACAATTACTCTACACATAATGGGCTCAGGACAATCTTCTCA